ATGGACAGAGCTTGAGCAAGTCAACTGGAGAGTCCACGCATGTGTGACAAAGGCTCATCCTGCTGCCAGATGTAGCCAACAGTGGAAAGAGAATCAAAGTGGCTTGTAGACCAAGGGCTGAGTACCCCCATATGGCTAGCACAGAATACTAAGGAATCTAATAATTCTAAATTCAAACCTGTCTTCCAGGTTGTTTTGACCTATTATTTGCCAGGTTGGTAGGATAAAACTCTTTTTATTTAATAGTTATCGGGATTTACTACTTTTAAGTATTTTTGGCTTGTGGTATGTGAGCCTCTATCTATACTTTTGTTCTAGAGTCCATAAACGTTAGGAATGGGCCTATTCTTTGTGGAGACTGATATTAATTAAATGATCATATAGGCACACACACACACACACACACACACACACACACACACAAATGTAAAATCGAACCATAGCTAAGCACTAAGAAAAATAATACTCTGTTTGGGTCTCTCCTAAAATGCTCTACTTGATCTCCATTCCCAGGGTTCTCATCGCATCTTGGGGTCTCCAGTTTCCCCTGAGCACTGTGAAGCTCTTCTCTTACTCTCCTGGGACCCAAAACACTGATGAAAATATTTCATACTATTCTTGCTCCTTCTGAACGTGGAGCTCTATGGAAGCAAACCCCAGGAAGAATAAGGGAGGCAAGCCAAGGCTGTTAATCTCTTCTAGACTCATTTCCTCTTTTCCATCTGGTCCAAAACAGGTGCCCCCACGCCCAGACTGCCATGGTGGATTTCATCCTCGCACCCACCTCTAGGTGCTCCCCAGCTGACCCTGCCTAGGAAATGCTTTCACCTCTTTGCCAAGATATCCATGTGTCTCACAGCTCTTCTGCTTCCAGCTGCCTAAACTCAGCCAATAACCATTGCTTCTCACTTGGTCTTCAACAGCAACAGAGAAGCCTTCTCTGACTAATTGGGGAAAAGGTAGCACATTCCCCCCACTTGTGTCCCTGAAAAGGCATGCCATACACTAGCTACTGTTAAGCACACATCTCTTTCTTGTATCCAATATTACTATAATTCACCTGTGACCCATTGTCTGTGTGTTCTTGATTTCTATCAGTCTCTCTGATGTCTGGGTGAGATTGTGAAACTCCTAGAGGGCAGGGCCACATCCGCCCTGTGTCTCCAGACCCTGCTCCGCAGAGCGGCAGGCATAGGTAGGTGCTTGCTTAATAAAGACTTTTGATGATGGAAACAGAGGCGTGGCACTCTATGCCTAGAGGATTGTGAGTGCACAGGAAGCAATCTACTACCACCACCAGCCCACAGTCACAGCAGTCCTGCCAGGGACTAGCCTGGGAGCTGGGGCACACTGTTCCTTTTAAATGAGGCAGAGGGAGCACTGTCTTGCCTCTGAGATAGTAACAGCAAAACACTGTGACAGCATGGCTCTAGCTGTGTTGACCAATCTGACGCTCAGCATGACCATCAGTTGGGGGTCTATCATTATTATCCTTGTCTTACAAAGGGAGAACCTGAAGCACAGAGGGGCTGTGCTGCTTGTCCAGGCCTCAGACTGGGGCCATCTGGTTTCAGAGACCTCAGCTTACCCACCATGGTCCATCAAAGTGAACCAATGCAGCTTCAACCAGAAACAGAGGGTGAAGAGATGCCAGCTGGGCTCTTTTCCCACACTTCCATGGATCCTTGACCCCTGTCCAACCTGGATGAATGGCTGAGAGGAGGGGAGTGGCTACTCAGTCAGCTTTCCAGCATTGAGCCAACTTGGCTCTCCAAGCATTTATTCACACACCATCCGTCTGCCTCCTCCTGTCCTCTCCTCTGTTTCTCACACATGCTAAGCTTGTTCACAGTTAGGTTTTTCAACCTGCTATTTCCACCTCCCAGAATGCTTTTCCCCCAGGCCTACTTATCAGGGGGTTCTTCTTATCATGTAGGGGCCATATCAGATGGCACATTCTTGGGAAGGCTGTCCCTGATCACTCTATCTAATGTAGTTGTTGCATCTTTCTCAAACCCTCTCTTTCCTTCTTGTCTACTCATTATCCTGTTTGACTTTCAACATGGTGCTCAACACCATCTGAAATCGCTTTATTTATCTACGAGTTGACTGGTCTGTTTCTGCATCTCTACTAGAATGTCAGCTTCTGGAGAGCAGAAATCTCACCTGTTTTGTCCCCTCCTGGATACTCAGTGCCTAGAACAGCATCTGGCACCCAAAAGTGCACAACAAACATTTTTAAAGTAAATGCATGCATGCATGAATGAATGTAAAGACCACGGTGGACACGTGCAAACCTGGAACTAGTTGGACCCTCCAGGTGCCCCTTACCACATACAAGCCCTTGTCTGGAAGAGATCAGATCTTCATTTGGGACAGTCTTTTAGCCCCTGGAGCAGCAGGCAAATGACTAGGAGCTGTTTGGTTTCTTTGTTTGGGCAAAGAAAAGACCATGACATTCAGCCGCTGAGACTGCCGACTGCTCTCCCTTCAGAGCCACATGTGCACGACTGCCGGACAGCTGGCTCCCTGAACAGAAAATCAGATCCTGACATCTCAGCTCTTCACTTTTGTCTTTCTGTCTGTCTCTCTCTTCCTACTCTAGAGGGTTTTCCCCCATCTCCTTTGTTGCCCTTCCTCACTGAATCCTGTGAAGAAAATTGAGTAAAAAGAGGGAAAAGGTGTTCATATCTAACACATGCTTCTCTTATTACTATGATAGCACAATCTCATTAAAATCTCCTGGCTCCTGCACAAATAATAAAACCCCCCAAATATAATCACCATATGCAGGAAGTGCTTGACTTGAGGCAGTCTTATGCCAACACGATGCCCCTATTCCTTCCACATAATAATAGAGCCCATTCCTTTATTGGTGTTAGCTCTTTTATTCAGTCCTTTATTTATGACACACCATAAAAATAATGAACAAGAAAGGAAAGCTCCTAACCTCTGCCCAGATCCTCTATCACATGCAGATATTTCACAATATTCCTAAAGATCCTTTTCTTCTTCCCTTTTTTCAACAAAATACTGCTTTTCCATGATCAAAATACCTGCCATTGTATTTTAATCCCTTTCAAGATGTTTTCAGGCTCATTATCTTCTGAATCCTCCCAGCACAGTTAAAAGGAAAAAAAGGAGGACAGTAAAAGGTGCCTCTAAATCACAGAAGTTGGAAAAGGGGCCCAGAGGTGTAGAATGATTTGAAGAGGTTCACACCGTGAAATACCATCCAGATTGGCCTCCAGGTCCTGCTGTTTTCTAGAGACAAGGGTATTTTTGCCAAAAGCCACACTCCCAGCAGCCCCTGTGACACACAGACCTAAGCCAACACATATGGGAGAAAACAGCTTAAGAAGTTTGGAAGCTAAGTAATTCTTTCTTATGGGAAAGATGAGGCTCCTGATTGGGGCAAAAGGCTGACCAGGAGCATCCTAAAGTGAGGCCTCACTCTTGCTCTCAGCCAAGCCACTCCACCTTGTGCCCACCAGTGGAAGTGGAGAGAAAGGCTGGATGAAGGGCCCCGAGCAGGTGCCCTGGAACTCCTCACCTAACAAGAGTCCTCAACTCTGGACAGGACTTAATTTGGGACTTCAGTAAGCCTAGTTTCAAGAAGAAGGAACCCAACTCTTAGCTCCTCAGAAACATTTATTCACACTGAGATCTATGTGACCTCCTCTCATGATGCCCAGGCTTCTTGGCCCTAGTCATCTTCTGTCCCTGAAATATGTTGCCCATTCAGAGCAAAGATAAAATGAATGAAAGTATCAGCTAAGCCTGTCCCTCACAGAGCAAGCCTTCAGCAAGAGCCAGAGCCCCCTTAAGATCACTGGCATGGCATTCTGCTCTGCCCCTTGTTCAGGAAGCACCCAGACATCTTCCCTCTACTTCTGGGAAGCTACTGAAAAAGTGGCTGATGCGACCATGGAACCCCCTTGACCAAGGTGCAATTTAATATTCCTTCTCCAGGATCACTAACTAGATCAGATTTTTTAGATGAGACTTTTCTATCTGGGATTCTGTGGAAAGTGTTGCTATAATTCATGACTCTAGGATAATGTCCACATACTCTCTCCAGCCTCTAGCAGACACTAGATTGGAAGTAGAGCTGGAAGGGCTGGGGTGAGTCTATCTGTGAAAATCTGAACGAACAGGGAAGGGAAGACCTTCAGACTAGTGCATGATTATACTTGGCATCCCTGCCCTGGATGGGGAGGGTTTAAGGGATATTCTAAGTTGAGGTGCTTCAGGTCTGAGAAGGGGAGTAGATATGACAAGATTCCTTACTTCCTTCTCCATATCCCTTAAGCTCGCCCTCAACCTGCTTACCTATTTGCTTTCAACCTAGGAGAAAAAAAAAACTTGAGTCAGCCAAGAAGTGTCTCAGCAAACTAGAGAGTCTTCTTGGGACTAGAATCTCTCCCCATTTCTTCCTCACTGACTAAAATATACTGCTGAGGATGTCAGTGTCATTTGGGAGGGGGTAGCTCAAAGTGAAAGAATAGGGTCAGGCTTGTGTGTCAGTCTATGAGAATAAGGAAAGAGGAGACGATCTCTGCATATTTCCCTCCAAAGAGGGAAGAAGTTTGAATCTAGGACTGAAGATGGGCCGAGGGAAATGCCAGTAACAACAAATCATATGAAAAGATATCTTGGCTTCAAGCATGAATGTACTACCAAGTTCCTTCATTTTATCACTTCTGACTTCTGAATCTTCTATTCTGAAGATGCTTATAGAGTTTTTGGATGGAATCGAAGACACTAACATTGGAGGAAAATGCAAAAACTAGGGTACAACTGAGTAACCAAACAGGCTCTACCAGGTACCAGACACCTTTTGGGCAAACTTAACCATAAGACATCACTGAGGAGCCCTTAAAACATATATTTCTTAAACTAAAGACAGCACAATGGCTCTCCAGGGAAAGCAGGTGAGTAGTAATCTGCAAGATCTGGAGACACCATCAGGCAGCAGGAAAAGGGAAAAAGGGTCTCACCTGTTCTGGCCCCTGGAAGCAGATGCGGCAGAGCGGGGTCCTCATGCCACTGTCCAGGCTGCTTCCCAGTGAGTAGCAATCCTCAGCCTTCCCCTTACAGAAGTCATCTGAGGAGGCACTGCTGAGCAGCGATGTGGGTGGCTCTGTGGCTGGGCCACCCCAGTCATCTTCCACAGAAGAAGGTGGCAAAGGTGGTGGAGGTGGCAGAGGAGTGGTCTCCCTGCCCACCCCTTCTCGAGGACCCCTCCAGCCTGCCCACCCCCCGGCACCCAGAGCCGGAAGGGTGTTGTTGTTGGCCGCCAAACTGGGGGGCTGGGGGTCGCCGTGCATGGGCAGGGGCGCTGGAGGAGGGCGCCGCAGCAGGAAAACCTTCAGGTCATTGAAGAGCATGCGGCAGCGGCACTTGAGGAGACCCTGGTGGCGCAACATCTGGGGAGCCGGGGCCCACGATCCACAGCGGTACCAGGCACAGCAGCAGCAGCTCCACCACCACCACCAGAGCAGCCCACTCAAGGGTATCAGCATGTGCCCAGTGGAAGCAGAGAGCCCAGGAGGGGCAGCCAGAGTCTTTGCAGAGGAAGATAGTAGAATGGTTTGGGGGGGGGGGTTCTATAGCAGAGCTGTGTTATGAAGGGGGAGATCTGCTTTCTCACTGGCTCTTCTTACACCCCCTCAAAGTAGTAAATCAATTGTTCCCAGGACGAAGAACTGTGAGTCACTGATTTTGAACTCTCCCTGGAAAGCCCAACAACAAAAAAGGTTTTCTTGCCTCCCCCCTGCCCCCCCACCAACCTTAGCTTTGCTCAGGTAGTTTCCTCCTTTTTGCCTTTGACTTGGGGGTACTGGCATGGGAAGGGGAGTAAAAAAATTGTTGAGGAAGGGCTCTTTGGGCCTTGAGATCAAGGTCTCTAGTTGTCGGAAAGTTTCCCAGGAGAAGATATTTTCAGTTCTTCTCAGATTCCTAGGCAGTGGGAAATCTCTTTTCTTTTGTATAAAAGGGTGGAGAAGATTATAAATCAAATTTGGAGTGGACTGAGCTGGGCTTAAGGCAAAACAGCTCAGTGAAAAATTGAGCACTGCATGTGCAGAGTGAAAAGATAGTTTTCCTCAGGTATCAGGAGATTGGTTTGGGGGGGGGGTGTTCGGTGGGGAGGAGAGGAGGTTGGGAGAAGTTTTAATTCTCCTGGGCAGAAAACTGGGGCAATTAATCCCCAGAAGCACCAGAGTTGCTTTTAAGAGAGCAGTTGGGGGGGAGGGGGGTGTTGCAGGTGAAATTGGGCAAGGGGCTTGTGCTTTGCCTCTGCAGCCAAAAAAGCTGCACGGAAGAGGGAAAAGCCAATTAGGAGAATAGAAATGGGAAGATAATGGACTGAGGAAGGGGAAAGGGCGGGGGGGGGTGGAGATCCTTTAACCCTCGCAGAGCAGCTTCCTTCCTGAGCATTAAGATCCTGGCTAGAGGAAGGGTGTGTGTAGGGGGGACGGGAGGCCGTTGAGCAGAGAGAAGGGGTAGAGAAAAGGGGCGTGTGGGAAGAGACAGGAGGAAGGAGTAGTTACATGATCTCAGCCCCCAGCCCACCCCTGCGGCAGTCCGTAAATCCGTGGCCCCTTCCCTTTGGCTCCATCAAAGGTCCCTTTGGGCGAGGGGCAAAGGCCAGGAGAAGGGCAGATCCGGGCGGGTGAGTGGCCTTGCCTTCTCTTCCTCTTCCTCTTCTGGGCCGTTGTCGCCCTCCTCCTCTTGCTCCGAGACTGCCCGCGGCCGCCGATGCTGCTGTGGCGGCGGCAGTGAATGCTGGTCGGCGTCCCGGTGTCTCCGGGGCGGGGGCTGCTCCGGCTCGTCCTCTGGCTGCTGCTCGCCCTCCGGCGCGGCCGCGACTCCCGGCTTCATGATCCTCCTCCTCCTCCTCCTTCCCTGGGGGCCGGCTCTGAGCCCCCGCGCCCGGGCAGCGCTGCCATGCAACCAGAGGCGAGGCAGGCGTAGGGGTGGGGGCGGCTGGGGAGTGAGGAGGGGAGGGCAATAAAAAATGAAATAAAACTAGTGGAAGAATAATAATTCGGTTCCCAAATAATCAGGAATGGGTGCTTCTGGAGGGGTGGGGGTGGAGGAGGGCGGCTGCCGGGTCTTCACGGCAGTTCTGCCCTCACTACCCCCACCAAGGGCGGCCTCGGCCGGCTCTCTGCCGCCACCCCCCCGCCCCTCCCTCCTCTCCGCTGCCTCCGGCTGGTTGGGCTCGCTGTTGCTACCTCCTCGCAGATGCAACGAGGTAAGGCTTGTTTGCGGTGCCAGTTGCAGGTGGGGAGGGGGAAACGAAGCAGTGTGGCCGAGGTGGGAGACAGCCAGCACTTGGCTGGGGCTTGGTCCTCGCGACTCCTCAAAGCCGTATATAAATATATCTCTTATAAAAGGCGAGAGGAAGCAAATCAGATTCCAGGCTGCTGCCAGGTGTTGTCTCGTCTTCCGCCGTTGCTCAGCACCCGCCGCCGCGACTGCTGCCCCCCTGGCTCAGTTCCCAAAGGGGTGGTGCTGGAAGGAAGGTGGCGGGGCGGTGAGCTGACCGTCCGAGAAATGGAAACAAGGTTCTTGCCGCGGAGAAGGCTTTCAGCTATCTCCGCCTCGGCCGCTGCCGCGGCCGCCTCTGCTGCATTCAGCACCCCAGGCGAGTGGACAGCTCCCACCCAGACCCCGCGCGTCACGCAAGTAGGGGCCTGACGCAGACGCCGCGGAGGGATGGAGGAGGGAAAGGGGCCAAGAGGAAAAGAGGCTAGGGAGAGAAAGAGAGAGAGAGGAGAAGAGGAGAACTGTTAGAGGGAAGGAGATGGGGAGGGACCAAGGGAAAGGAAAGGAAGGAGGCTAGGGAGGGATTTAGGAAGGAAGGGAGGAGGGAACAAGAAAGGGAGAAAGGCAAGTGGGGTGGAAAGGAGCAATTCAGGGTACATTTTCCCCCAGCTGGAACGTATCAGTGTGGATAGTAAGGTTATAGGGTTTCCTCCCAATGTACACTATCACCAGCCCTCTGAACGCGCATAAACAGAGCCTTCTACATCTCAACCAGAGTCCATTTCCAAGCTCATAAACATTGTAAGCAGATAGAAATCTGCAGGCTTTGGGGAAAAAAAAAAATAAGTTTTGTGACTCTCTAACGAACTCCGGGACTCGGTGGAGACTAAGTCCCTCATGACTAAAAACTCAAGAGAAGAAAATGCTTCAGAGAGGGAGGGAGATGCCAGCCCCATTTTTGCCAGTTTCTTCTAGAAATTCAGTTCCAAAGGGCATGATTTGTTTGTTGCTGTTGTTTGGGTCCATTTTAATCCTCTGTGCCTAGGTCAGTAATGACATGTAATATGTGCTCAATGTATATTTGTTGAATGGAATATGACCACCATTGCCATCATCAAAGTCATCATTGCTCCAGGTATAGACCTCTCCCAACTGTGAGTCATAAGAATCCAGAGAGATATTAACCCTCCTCCTAACCACTATCTCCAGCTTCCCTCCATCCAAGCATTTAACTGAGCCACTGACAAGAGGTCATTTGAAGTGGATTTTAATTTCCTCTTTTATTTCTGTTTCTGACTCATGTCACCCTACCTCATCCTTGTCAAGGAGTTTCTAGTAAATAGTAAGGGGTCCCCAAATGTGAAGAGCAAGAAAAAGAAAACTTAAAGTGGTCTATACAAATAACTCAGTACTTACAGCTGTAGACTTGGGTCATTTAAAACTTAGGTTTGCTTTCTTGCCTTTCTTCATAACCCCTTTCCACCTCAATACACACAGACCACGAGGGTCATAGACATGGACAAGCTATCCCAATGAGTCATCTACAAAGCTGTGGTTAATGCCTTTGGAAATATTGGAGCCATAGACAGAGAAGCATGTAAAATCTCCACACTAAAATATCACTGGCGTGAAGATGAGCCCTATGAATCATAAGAAAACTACCCCTTTGCTGCCATCTCCTTGAATGATTTATTCCTACAAGCTCTAAAGAGCAAGGACCTAAGTCTGGGTCTTGATTAAGCTGGGGTGCCTGCTTGTATGCATCATTCCTCAACACCCACCATGGATGTTGACCCCTGGTCCAAGGTGAGTGGTTGGAAGAGAATACTACAAAAATAACTACAAAAACAACTACAAAATAATATGTATATTACGAATATCAGCACACTCACTCTGCCACAAAAGAGAATTTCTTTGTTATAAAAATCCATCTGCTCTCAAGGAAAATTCTCTGTGCACCACATTACCCTGTGCCTGATTCTGACATTGCACAAATAATGATCTCATCATGTATTCATCTCCCTCTATAAGACACAGAGCTCTTTGAAGGCAGGGACCAGTATTTATGTTTGCAACTTCAGCATATAAACATAGTGCCTAAACCTTACTGGGTGATCAAGAAAATGAATGCTAAATGAAAGAAGGGCCTTTTTGCTTCAGTGAAGCGACCCTATTTCTCCCCTTCAACCAAAACAGATTCATGTGAGTGCTCTCAGACATGACTGAATATCTACTTTACCTAAAATTGAACTTCAGGGTCTTGTAAAATGCTAATCCTCATAAAATACTAGTTTCAAGTATGTCGTGCAAGTAAATTGGGGTAGAAGATAGAAGAGCCATACAAAACCTGTATTCAGAGTTATAGAAAGTGGTGAGATCCATAAGACTGTCTTTCCCAACCTTTCCGCTGAAAGGAAGAAGATTCCTAGAAACAGGAGGCTGCTATGCACAGGGAGCAACAACAGGGCTGTCTTCAGAAAGACTGGAAGGCTTGAGGGCTCTATTTTGAATATAATGTAAATCCTGAAAAGCACCTCAGTGAGTGTCTCCTAATGCTGTTGATAAAACAAAAGTTGTGAGCCCCAAGAGTAAAAGCCACAGTGAAGGAAATGTAAAATTCAATGGGTCTCCATTCAAGTATTCAAAAAATACTTACTGAACGCCAACACCAATGGTAGGCAAGGCATTGTGTTGGAAGATGGCAACACAAGAATGGATTGGTTGGAATCTCATCCTCAAGAGTCTAGTAGTATAAATATGTACATAATCATAATATAAAGTACAAAATAATAAATGCTATAAAGGTGTAAGAAGTTTGGGGAGTGTTTAAAATAAGGAGGTAACTATGTTTATGGCTTAGCGAAGGTGGGGAGAAGTGAAGATACCACATCTCCAAGAAAGCCCTTTTCAAAAAGTGACATTTGAACTGAATTAAGGTATAAGTTAAGATATAAGAGGAGGGGATGCTGAGTACTTTAGTTCTTCCATTTGACTGGAGCATAGGTGCTTGAAATTAAGCAGCTAGAAGATAAGTCTGAAAGGTAGGCTGGAGCCAGATCATAGAAGGTCCTGAATGCCAATCTGGGAGAAGATTTACTCATTGACCAGTTATTTGTTTTAATGGTTTTAAAGATTTGGAGCTGAAGGTAAGGGCGGTAATAAACTTTATCACTGAGCAGGTTAATTAACTGGATGTGATTTCATTGCTAACAGGTGAGAAGCAATCAATATTTTTCATTTCATGCCAGAAAGTTCTCAGCTCCTTAATAGATTTAGTCTTTTAAATGAGGTTGTTTTTCAAATATAT